TCCGCCCCCAGAGCACGCCTCTCACACTGATTGGCTGTTCTTGGAAGAAGGGCGGGGCGCCTGGGGGTGGCGGGGCGCACCCCTGTGTGGGGCGGGGGAGAGGGGTCGAAGGGCACCCGCCTGGTCCCAGGGAAGTTCCCCCCACCTGTTTCTGCCTGAGGCCATGCGTGTGGAGGACCTGTCTGACCACTGTGCCCCTGTGTTGGGGTGCAGCATGTGGTGTAGACAATGCTTTAAACCTTTGTGTGTGTGTGTGTGTGTGTGTGTGTGTGTGTGTGTGTGTGAGAAACAATAGCTGAAAGCCCAGTATTTGTGGTCTTCCCAAGGACCAGAGGCCTGAGGGAGGGCAAGCCAAGCCCCGTGTGAGGATGGCCTTAGGCCAGAGCCGAAGCATTCCGTTTAAAAAAACTCCAGTTTGAAAGCAGCAGCTTCACCAGGCCTGCCTACAGACCCTCCAGTGCGGCCCTCAGGCCCAGACAAGTCACTTCCCCCTCCCTGACAAACTCAGAGTGAAGCCTCTGGCAGGCTGTGCTCACCCCATAAGGGGAAAGGGACCCCATACGAGGGAAAGGCAAGAAAATTAGGGTGGGGACCACCAGACCAGAAGCTTTAACCCCAGGGTAAATGACTGAGAAATCCAGTGGCAGCTGATAGGGATTGAAAGGTGGTCCGAAGCCCCCAACTTTACTGTAAATGAAGGAGCAAATGAACACACATTCAGCCAGCCAAAACAAGGATGCACACAAACCTCAGAGCCTGATGAGGACCTGGACTGACATCCCATCACTGGTCACTGTTTGCTGACCCTCTGCATGGTCCTCACCGCTCTCAAACTCTACAGCCACATCTTGACCCTGGTGGGGGCTGCGACTTCTCCCTATGATCCCCTCAGCTGGCCATCGGCTCCACCCCAGGGGAAGTCTGCCTTGGTTCCTGACCTGATCACGGCATCTGAGTGCGTGGGCATCTGTGGACTTGGAGCCTAAGGCCTGAGACTTTACACCCAGCACCTGAACTTAGCATGTAGAAGGAATGTCTGTCAGGAGCCTGTCATGACTGAGGGTGTTTGCAGTGCTTAGAATTAATTAATCTAGAACTGTGTGCTGTGAATTGATTATGTCTATTGCAACGCCTTGCATTAAGGATCGTCGTTTTCTTGATCAAGAACCTATAGTGAAATTGTATTGAGTGATTTGAGTGAATGAATCATGGGAAAGGGCAGAAGCGTGTGGCCATTCTTTATTTCTCCCCCTCGACTGCGTAAGTTGCACCTTTTGCCCATCGTGACACTGGGGCAGCGCCTGCGAAAAGCAGCAGGGTACACACAAGGATGCGAAGCTAGGCAGTGTGGGCCCAGGTCCCCTGGCGCTCCTGACCTCTGGGCAGTGGAGGCAGAACTCACCAAGCAGGGAACGCTAACCCCACCCTCGCCCGTGCTGCACAGGGAGGAGTGACAATGGAGGGGCCATTTGCTGCGGCGGGTGGGTGGGGGCGCAGGATGGAGAGGGAGCAAGCTCTGGCTCTTTGGGTGAGTGATGATGGAGGTGTGGAGAAGGGTAGGCATGGCCACGGTGGAGGGAAGTACAGAGGATCAAAAGGTGTTCAGAAGGTGTACTGAACAGAGCTTGGTCGCGTGGGAGGTGAGGGAGAAAGAAGGAATATGCATGTGGCTGGAAATGGTACCGAGGTGGAGAGGAAAAGAGCACCAAGAGGCCAGTTTGGAAGGTGGTTAATTTTGAACACCCTGTGTCTGAAAATACTGACAAACCCAGACCCTGTTGCGTGTTCTCTCCATTTAAAAAAGCATCTAAAAGTAATCTGATTCTTAGCAGTCTAACCCAAGAGGAGGTTAGAGGAGCTGGAATTGAGACAGACAGTTCTGGACACTAGTGAGCATTGCCTGTTTATTGGAGAGACTGCTCCCTGGGCCACACCTCCTCCCTAAGCTGCCAGGCTTCTGTCCCTTCGGAACCTGGTTTTCTGGCTGTCCTTTCCTGCCAGAACCTGCCCTTCATATTTCCAATCATTCTTCCATTTGCTTAAATAGCCCAGCACTGGTTTCCATTATAACACTCCAGAAAAACATGAATTGGGGTTAACTCTGATTGTAAGTGTCGTCCCATCAGACTTGAGGAGTGAGTTTACAAGGCTGAGAAGGGCCCAGGATTCCAGGCAGAAGGTCCACCAAGGGCAAAGGTAAGGATGTGGACGAGCTTGCCTTCCTTGGGGAATGGAGAGGGGACTCAGGGAAGATCAGTTTGGCTTAAGTGTGAGCAGATAGAGGTGTGCTATCTGAAATTTCCTGCAGAGCCCCTGCCCTGAAGGTCTGGTCTCTTAGGAAGCTCCTAAGATGTCAGTCTGTTCTGTGTCCTTGTGCATCTGAGACCAGCTGTCATCAAACGTTTCCATTACAGCCCGGGCACTCAGCCCGACTTCACTTCTGACATTCCCTTGCAATGAGTCTCCGCCAGGGGGTTGTAGATGGAAGTGCCCTTCATCATTTCCAGCCTAGGTCCATCAAAGCCTTCCACAAGTGGCCCTCACTTTCTCTTTGCCCTATGTACTTGTTCAGTGTTCATGCTGAAGGTAGGGCTTCTGTTAGTCTAGGTCCTCAAAAAATGGTATGGAGCAAAGCCCCAACCTCACGCAACTGGATTTGATTTGACCAAGAATTTAACTTTTACTCTTTTGGGTTAGGTCATTGAGATTTTAGGATTTATCTGTTGTGGCTACTAGTCTTAATTAATGCAGATTTGCAAACCCATGAGACATAAAGGAACTTATTCGGGTATGGCGGGTTTTCACGGGGGGTTTATACCCCGGTTTAGCATTATTGTTTCTCCTTTCACTTTTTTCTTTTGGTAGTGGGACTTCAACACAGGGGAACTTTACCACTGAGATGCATCCCCAGTCTTTGTTATCTTTTATTTTGACAAGGGGGTCTCACTAAGTTGCTGAGGCTGGCCTCCAACTTGTGACCCTCTTGCCTCACCCTCCTGAGTCACTGGGATTACAGGTGTGTGCTACCACGCTTGCCTTTCCTCTCACTTATTTGAACCAAGAACAAACCCGATGAAAGAACTTGAATGACTGAATTTCAACATTAACTTAATGCCAGCTTCATTGCTCTCCAGGGACTGGGTGAACTGATGTCTCCAGAAACCTACTAAAACCCTCTTTCCCAGGAGATATTACCCAGGACAGGAGACTTGCCCCCTGTCTGCCTGTCCCCTGCTCTTCTCCCCGACACCATACCAGCTGCAGGCCCTCCTGTGCAGACTGTGAGAGGCTGAAGTCTGTGAAGACATTTTGGAAGCCCAAGAAAGCTCTGATATAGAATGTAACATTTTTATGAGCACAGTAGTATTTTTATAAACTTATGGAGACTCAAGCGGTTAGAAGCCTGTGCCCTGAGAATCCTCTCATTGCTCTGAAGGTTTTAACTACCTTCGGAATGGTTATAGGGCTAGAAGTGGAGGTGCATGCCTCTATAATCGCAGTGGCTTGGATTGAGACAGGAGGATCATGAGACTCCAAGCAACTCAGCGAGATCCTGTCTCTAGATAAAACATTAAAAAGGGCTGAGGATGTGGCTCAGTGGTTAAGCACCTCTGGGTCCAAACCCTGGTACCCCAAAACAAAATAAAAAACTGTTATAAGGAGTTTGTATCTTGCCTTAGTTTTTAATTTATGTTTTCAAGAGTCTTTGGGACATTCTTATGAATATACCTTATAGGCAAGTCAAATTTCACACTTAAAAATCTTAGTCACCCAAAGTAAAGAAAAAAAAAAAAA